CCTGCGCTCCTCTGTGTCCGGGTTATGCCACTAGGATGGGGGGGTGGAGGGGGTGGGGCCTGGAAGAAGAAATTACACCCCTGTGGTCCCGTCCTCCTCAGAAGTGAACCCAAAGAAAACTCATAAAAGCGGGGGAAGCAGCTGGTGTGGACAGGGTTGGGCTGAATTCCAGTTTCCATTTCATAATAATTACTTATATGTGACTTGTCTCTTTACAGAGCCCTTTCCCATATATTATCCGGTGGGAGCCTGCTAATAACCATGCGCCATCTAGGTTATTATCCCATTTTATAGATGGGAACATAAAATCAAACTGAAGCGGAGTGGCTTCCCCACAGCTGAGGCCCACAGCTCTGAGTGGTAGAGCCATGGGAAGGCGGGCCCGCCACCCAGAACAGAAACCTGGTGTGATGGCTGGGACCAGAAGTCACAATGCTGTCCAGAGGGAGCAAATGCCTCCGAATTTGCATTTCACAGATAAAGATGCTAAGCCAGGAAGGGAACGTGACTTTTTAAAGCTAAAGGTTCTAGAGCAATGGTTCTCAACCTGTGGGTTGCAACCCCTTTGGGGGTCGAACGACCCTTTCACAGGAGTCGCCTAAGACCATCGGAAAACACACATATAATTACACTAGAGGCCTGGTGCACAAAAATCTGTGCACTGGCGGGGGAGGGGAGGTGAGGAGGTGTCCCTCAGCCCTACTTGTGCCCCCTCACAGTCTGGGACCCCTCGGGAGATAACCGCCTGCTGACTTAGGCCTGCTCCCTGGGTGGCAGATGGCAGGCCCGGATGGCAGCGGGACAGGCGGGATGGCGCTGTCTCGCCCTGCCTGCAGTATGCAAATTAGCCGCCATCTTTGTGATGGTTAATTTGCATATCACGGTGATTAGCCAATGGGAGACGTAGCAAAGGTTTGGTCAATTTCAATCTTTGTCTATTATTAGATTAGAAGTAGCAACGAAAATAATTTTATGGTTGGGGGTCACCACAACATGAGGAGCTGTATTAAAGGGTCGAGGCATTAGGAAGGTTGAGAACCACTGTTCTAGAGGGACATCGACTCGCCTTTTTTTCCGTGGCCCCTCTGTAGCTGCCAGGTCCGCTGGGACTCCGCAAGGCCAGGCAGTTGGAGTTCCAGAAGGCAAGGCTCTTCACAGGAGACAGAGATGTGGCTGGCCAGGTGGCACTCTCCTGGCTCACGAGGTCCCCCTGTGCCTCTGAGAGCCCCGGGAACTGAAGGGTTCCAGGTGGGGTCCACCCAGCAGTAAAATCAATCCCTGCTCCCAGCATCACAGCTTGCCACATGGACTGTCTGTCCCCGAAGGTCCACCCGGGGCACTCTCGCCTCTCGAGGGCCTCATCCATGCTGCTCAGAGGCACCTGACTGGGGCAGATGGGACTTCGACATTCCAAGGCGATTGGTATTTCAAATAGAGGCAACAGGGAGAGAATTCTGGGAAACCCCAAGAAATGACTCCAGCAAGGAAGATGGCACCCAGGGCTAAGGGTAGAGTTCCCATGGCATTGACAACAGGATCCCTAACCACGGGTGACACCCCACACCCACCCTCTGCCTGGGTGCTGGAGCTCTGATCATAGGACAGCCACACCTCCCAGCTCCAGCTTTTGTTACCACTAGCTGTCATGTCTCTTGCAGGCTACAGGGGAAATGAGGACAGTTATAAATGACCAGGTTTTCAAAAGCAAAATCAATAATATACCTGAGTATGTAGCCCATCTTTTAGGCAGCATTTTCCAGGTGAGCTGTGCCAAAATGGGCAAGGGGCATAGCGGGGGGAGGAGGGGGGGAGAGGAGCAGGCTGACAAGACCACCTGAA